CGCTGGCAGCCTGACTGACCTAACAGATCTATGAATGAGAGACTTGAAAACGAACTTGGTACACTGGAAGGTTATAGGAATTGAGTATTTGGAAGTGAACAAGTGGCAAAGACCACTGTAAGGCAAGCAAAGTTTAATCCATTATATCCATCTTATACCATAGACCTTGATACAATGATTGAAAGCTGGAAGAGCAAAGGGGATAGGAAGATCTATTTGTGGTGATATGGGAGCATGGCCTCCCCCTCCTCAGTCCTCATCGGTGCATGTACATAAATGTGTCAATATGTCTTCACAAAGCACTACATCACACACACAACCCCTGAAAACCCAGGCCATTTCTGGCACCTTTTTCTAGAAAAATAGCACTGAGTATGACTCTGTTTACCCAGACTGTCTACTGAATAGGATGTGCCGGTTATGTAGATTGCACACAATGTCACCTGTTTGTAACTTGCAGAAACCCATTGGAATGTCAATGCCAGGTGTAAACTCTGTCTGGAAAAGGTATAAGGCTTGTAAATTCCAAATGCTTTGATTGACACAGGCAATTTTGACCTGCCTCACCTGCGGTAACCCCTCCCAATTTTGAGATGTCTCTTTGATATTTGCCTACGCTTCACTGACACTTGTGGGGTGGGATTTTTTTACTGTTTTGCGCCAAATGTAAGACTCGAAAGGCAAACCCCCTTTGTCTCAGGGTTCTCCTTTCTTTGCTTTTAGAGAGGTTGAACCTTTGTCACGACAAATAAACAATCAAAGGCTGAGCGCCCACTGTGCTTTTGGATTTTTGCCTGGTTGTGTTCTCTTTATTTTTTACTCTGACCCAGGAACCTAGCTTTTGTGAAGTACCTCAGGTAAGGGGTTCAGCCCTAAAGCGAGCACCAAAGGAGAAATACCTGGTGCCCCCTTGGAGCATCCATGCCCATGGCGCAACTTTATAGTGTTCTATTTGAAGCATACACAAAAAAGATTTTTTCATTCTCTTATCAAAGTTTCCCAAGAAAATACAGCCATCATGAAATAAGAGATTCTCTTTTGGATTAGCACAATAGCACTTTTATCTCCTTACCTAAATGTACTTATCTTGCATTAAGCGACTGTAACTTTTTTCTTTCTGGGAAAGCACTGAATCAGAACAAATGGCAATCGGGTTGTCCACGGAGCGCTATTTGTTCAAGTTTAGCACTAAAGAGCAGGTTTTCCAGGGGGAAGTGTCAGAGCTAAGGCAAAGCTGCTTGGACCCATTCTTTCTAGGGACAGGCAAAGTGGAAGTGCAGATGATCCCATAGTTGTTAGCTTGTTGCTTCTGTTAGTATCTTGGCTCACAGGCAGAGGTACCTGGCCTCCCCCGAGGCAATTGAGCGAGATACTGTGTTTACCATCCGTCTGCGACTGCCGGCAGGCTAGGTAAACAAACCCGGTGATTCTTCTCATTAGTCGTGAGAAAAACACACCCTCTGCTTTCCTCTTCTTCTCTCCTCCCCTGCATTCTCCCAGGGAGGGAAATGAGACAGACAGGAGTCCTTTTACATGTCTTTTTATTCCTGTCTCCAGCAGTACATAGAAATGTGACTGAACCCTTCAGTCTCCATTTGAAGAGTTACACACTCCTCCCCTGTACTGAGCTAACATCCGGTGCTCAGTACAGAGAAAAGACTCCACCTTTTCTCCAAGAGTACATCTGCAAACCACAACATCCTGTTTTGCATTCCAGCCATCTGGAGCTGGCTTTTGCCTTGGTGCTTTTTCCTGACAGCTTCTCACTATGCCTCATCTAAGACAAGGTCACCAAGGTTTGCTCGAATCTAACTTTCAACAGCCCCAGCTACTTGACCAATGTGCAACAACATGTAGAGGTCCCCCATTCCTGAGCTAAATAGTCTCTTTTAACTAATTTCTTGATGTCTTGTTGCTTCTGCGACAACAGGCAGATAAAGTTAAACCATTGTACTGCACCTTAAATTCCAGCAGAAATAACTCCTCAACAGTCATGTCTCAATAGATGGCAGTACAATCCTATGCATGTCTATTCAGAAAAACAACTCACATTTAGTTTAAAGCGCTAACGGCTATGTGTATAGAATCAGGGGTGTAGCACCCCCAGCCTCAGCAGCTTCCTCGCGGGAGGCAACTGATCTCGCCCCCTCCCAAAAATGTGCCTGAGGCTGCAGCCCCCTCAGCTCCCCCATGCCTCTGTATAGACTACATACAAATTTGCATGATTCGAAGCCTAAGAGTGTCCTCAGAGAGTGTCCTCAGTTTATGAACAAATTTGGTGACAATCTACCTTTTCCTAGGTAGATATATTATGAAATATAAACTCTTGTATGGCAGTTTTTCTTGCTATGTATATAATACAATTACATGGCATATGTGTACAGTATCTCAGCCTTTGCTGTACTTTGAAAAAAGGATAATGTGCTGCATTTTTTTATGTTGGAATACAATCTAAATGCACCAAAGTAGCATTTTTAAAAAAGTGGCCCAAGGGAATATCTAAAAGCAGGAGAACACTGAAATCCATTGACTTTTGCACATAAGAGCAATAATTCCTTTTTAATCCCCTTAAGGGAGCCGGGGAGTGGGGCTATTTCTTGTCCAGACGCCCAACTCAGGGGCTGAAGGGCGGTGGGTCATATGCAGTGCATGTCATACGGTGAACCTGACCCTGGTCAAGCCCTTCCTTCCATCAACCAGCAGGCAGTTGATTTAAGGTACACACCCAATGCCTACACCAAACCTGTTTACATCTGTAATCAATCAGATATCCTAAATTGGGCAAACTTTCAGAGAACAGGATTGCATGCTGGTGGAACAATACACCTTTGCCATGCACATTTGGCACAAAGACTGAGCTGCCATCTCATTGTGTCTCCCAAAGCAGCAGCCTAGTAGCCCATGAGTCTGTGATCAGAGTGATTCACATGCTTAGACCGTTGAGGGAAATTGAATGAGAGCATGGGAAAAGAGTGTTTCAGTGGTTATCATGCCATCTTGGGGTCCCAATGTGTGTTAAAGAAGCGCTTATGGCTCAATTCAGGAAGCAGCACTGTCAAACTATTGTTCCATCCACATCAGCATTGCCTGGCAGCACCTCTCGGGGGGTTTGAAGAAGTCTTTCTCAGTCATCCCTGGAGATAGAGCCTGGTACCATCTGCATATAAAGCATCAGCTGTAACACTGATATGCAAGACTTAGAATGTGATCTGTAGTGTTTTTAGAAGTACAATTGCAAAGCATAATACATATTTCATATGTGCTTCAAGTGGTTTGGAACTTCTGTGCTACTTTGTATTAGAGTTTCACAAATCTAATTTTAGTTCTCTCCATGCCTTGACTGCAGAAGTCACAGCGAGACAATCCAGGCTGTGTTGTGGAAATAATAATAATAATAATAATAATATAATAATAATAATAATAATAATAATAATAATAATAATAATAATAATAATAATAATATCTTTATTGTCATTGCCCCCTCTCGGGGACAACGAAATTACTTGGCTGCTCCATCCACCCAGGTAGGGCACTCCACACAAAATCAAATCAACTATAAAAACACTAATTAAAACAATACAGTATAAAACAGCAAGGAAGATTAGATGACTTTCAAAGTCCAGGCTTCCCATTCAGGGCCGAGATCGCTCTGGGGAAGAAGCTGTTCTTAAGACGGCTTGTTCTTGTCTTCATCGTCCTGTATCTCCGTCCCGACGGCAGAAGCTCGAAGAGACAGTGACCAGGATGCGATGGATCTTTTACTATGTCCAGTGCCTTCCTATGGCACCTTGTGGCATAAATCTGCTCTAAGGTGGAGAGTGGACAGCCAACAATGCTCTCTGCTGCCTTAACAACTCTGCACAACCCCAACCTGTCCCGGGTAGTACAGCTTCCGTACCACACACATAAGCCATAAGTGAGCACGCTCTCAATGGCACAGTGATAGAAGGCAAGCAGCAGTTTCTGCGGAAGATGGTTTTTCCTTAGAATTCTCAAAAAGTACAGTCTCTGCTGCGCCTTCTTCACAAGCCCCCTTGTGTTGACACTCCAGGACAGGAAATGCAGCATTATGAGTCAGAATGAAAGGCCTATTGAGTCTCTAATCTCATCTGTAGGAGTAAACCTTTGGCTCAGTCCCTTCGCTCCTGTGCACTACTGCATGTAAGCCTGTAACTAAACCTAACCACAAGCAATTGAAACATTTAAAATTTTATTCCCGGTTTACCCCTGCCTCATCTCCCTCCCCTGTGTAGACTGTGAGCTCCTTTTGTCCTTTAAAATAGTGTTCTATGTTGGGTTGCCAGTGCAATGAAATTGATTTTTAGCACAGGAAGGTGTCTCCAATTGGGTGGGGGGTTTTTTTAAGTATTAGATTGTCCAGTAGAGGCAGGTGTTGTTAATTGGACTTCTGAGTAGGAGGGTATGGCTGGGCTGGCAAGTTGCCAGACCTCCCCCCTCCCCCAGTTCTTATAAATATCCTTAGTAAAACTACATGGCACGCTTTTTAGACTGCTGCTTCCTGGACCTGCTTTGTGATGCACTTCAAACGCTACCTCCTGGACTTGCTGTTTGGCTTTCTTTGGAAGACTACCTGTCTGCTAAACACTTCATATGCCATCTCTTTGTGGTACTTTCGTGACAGCCAGGTCATGTGACCAAGCTGAAGAGGTGTAAGAACCAGCCTAAGTCTTTCCTCTCTGGTGGGGCTCAGCCAGCTTCAACCCAGCCAGCTGAGCCCTGGCTGAGCTCAGGAGAGTAAATGACTCTGGTGTAGCTTCAGCTGAACAGGGTTGGGAATTTGACACCAGCTGGGTCTGCCTGAGCTCAGGCATCCTAAACTGCTCATCTTGCCATAGGATTGCCTAATAAATGTACCACCACAGAAAATAATGTCCTCTTCAGATGCTAAAATATGAGGAATTAGGATTGCACTCAGTGATAATCTGTGCAATAAAAATGGTTGATTCCAGCCAAGTAAAAAAAAAGACACAAAGCAAGGACAGGGAAGATCATGGTGGCTTTTATTGATGGCAATATTAACAATGGTTTTATTTCATATGTAAAAAGTTTATCTTCGTGGAACTTAAAAAAATGTCTCTGTTGAATACATCCTATACGTACTCCCTGCTCGTACCAGCCTTCTTTATCAAGTGCCATCCATGAGGCAAAGTGAGACGTCTTGAGCACCAAGGAGAACACGGAGAACTTTTGCCACAACAAATACCTGAAATGCGGAGGAGAGGAAAAAGGTAACATGGAGATCTCATTGTCATTTGCACTCCATCTCCCATTGTTAATCAACAAAATTAGCAGATATATAAAAACAGGCTTCAAAAAACTGCAATTTTGTCTCAAATAACTTTTATTTTTTGAGGTAAAGCTGTTTTGACATTATGAGGTAAGACACACTGTTGATGGATTTTAAAGCCCTTTTTAGGAGAAAAGAAAGAACCCAATAGTAGGTTAGGTATTAACTTAATGAGTGTTCCTCATTAAGTTCAGCGGCCAGGTTGCTCACCAGGGCAAGACAGTCTGAGCATATTATACTGATCCTGGTCCAACTGCACTGATTACCAATTAGTTTCCAGGCCCAATTCAAAGTGCTGGTTTTGACCTATAAAGCCTTAAGGACCACAATACCTCCAGGACCGCCTCTTTCCATATGAACCTACCCAGACGCTGAGATCATCTTCCAAGGCCCTCCTTCGTGTGCCTCCTCCTCGAGAGGTCTGGAGGGTGGAAACACGAGAACAGGGCCTTCTCTAAAGTGGCTCCCCCTTCTGTGGAATGCTCTCCCCAGGGAAGTTCGCCTGGCGCCTTCATTATACACCTTTAGGCGCCAGGCAAAAACATTCCTTTTTAACCAGGCCTTTGGTTGACTAACATTCTATGCCCTTTTAAAATGTGCTTTTGTGGGGGAGGAGGGTTGTTCTTTTTTATTTTGATTATGTATTCTGTGTTTTTATATCGTGATTTTATCCTGTGAACTGCCCTGAGACCTGGGGGTATAGGGCAGTATACTAATTTAATTAATAAATAAAGAATGCAAAAATCACCACCCACATTCATGTTAGCAATGAACTCCAAAATGGAGAAGTGGATCCACTATTTTGTAGTTTGTGTTTTTCCAGCTCGGGCCCATCCCAGGTACTTCTGATATTGACAGAAGCCCATGTTGCCCTGCTGCCATACTTGGCATCCCAGTAAAGCCGGGCATGTAAAGGTGGCAACTGCTGTCTCTAAGCAGCCCAACAGGCTACAGCTCTGAAGAAGAAACATGTCAGGAAAGAAATCACATCAAATAGTGTAATTTCTGTACACTAAATATGAAATATAGAAAAAGAGAAGGGCAGTTTATAACCTTGGAAGATAAATAGACCCACAAGAAAATGTTGCCATATGGATTGCTCCTGTTAAGTCCAAGTTCCAAGCCAGCCATGTCCTGTTTGTGGATATTCCACACTTCCGCACCCTCTCGCCCCTCGTTTCCTCCCCCAGCCTCAAAAGCCACTTGGCATTCTGTGCTCTTTGGGCAAGGGCTGTGGCTGCGTGTTTCTCCATTGGTGAGAGCTTCTGGCTGAGAACATGTGACGCCATTGTCCACACAGCTCCACTGGCTGCCCATCTGCCACCAAGACAGGCTCAAGGTTCCTGTACACCTCAGGGATCGCCTGATATTCCAGCTCTAGCACTGAGAACATTTTGCGTCTTTGGTCGTTCCTGAGCTGGTGAGACTCGTTTGACAACCACAAGAAATCAAGCCTTCAGCCATCGGCCCAATCCTGTGGAACAGCCTGCCTTTTTAAAATTTACTGGGAAATCTTCTATCATCACAACTGGAGTTAGTGGGAAAATTACTGGTATCAACTTTCCTTTATATTTTACCCATATCTCAACGATGTTTCTTCATAAGGGATTTTCAGTATTATCCCACCACTGCCTATTTGGTTTGATGAAAAATCTATTCACTAACTTCTCCCTCATTTCCTGTGTACCACTCTCTAACCATTCTAACTCTCCTTGTTCTATTATCTCGTCTATGATATAAAAAGGTAAAGGTACCCCTGCCCGTACGGGCCAGTCTTGCCAGACTCTAGGGTTGTGCGCCCATCTCACTCAAGAGGCTGGGGGCCAGCGCTGTCCGGAGACACTTCCGGGTCACGTGGCCAGCGTGACATCGCTACTCTAGCGAGCCAGAGCCGCACACGGAAACGCCGTTTACCTTCCCGCTTGTAAGCGGTCCCTATTTATCTACTTGCACTTTGAAGTGCTTTCGAACTGCTAGGTTGGCAGGCGCTGGGACCCAATGACGGGAGCGCACCCCGCCGCAGGGATTCGAACCGCCGACCTTTCGATCGGCAAGCCCTAGGCGCTGAGGCTTTAACCCACAGCGCCACCTGCGTCCCATATAATATAACTATGTTGGGAAGACCCAGTGCACCTATTTTCTGGGGTTTATACTCCATCTTCTTTTATTAATTCTGGGTTTCTTATCCCCATTACAGATTTATTAATCATACGTTGCTAACCCTTTATCTCTGTCTCCAATATCTTAATTGGTAACATTATAAATAAAAAATATTATTCTAGACAAAATTTTAATTTTAATTATCACTATTCTTCCAACCCATGAAAGACTAATTTTCTAATATTCCTTCAGCTTTTCCTTAATTTCAGTCTTTAAGTTGTTAAAATTCTCTTGTTCTAAATTTTCTACGTTTCTTGTTATATTTATTCCCAAATACTTTATTACATTTCTTAATTTTATATCTATTTTATTTTCCTTCAAAAAAATGTTTTTCATCTTCACCGTAATTAAATATCATCATCTCTGATTTGGACCAATTAATTCACAACCCTGTTATTTCTCCAATTTTTTCCCCAAATGTGCTTCTATTACCTGCATATTTTCCAATGGATTTTCAGTTGTTAGCAAGGTGTCATCTGCAAATAAGCTTATCTTCTCCTTTCCTTTACTGCTTATTCCTTTCATATTTCCATCTTCTCTAATTACATTGGCCAGAGTTTCAATGACCAATACAAATAAGATTGGGGAAAGGGGGCATCTTTGCCTTGTACCTCAGGCTAGTGTTATTTGTTCTGTTATACTATCGTTCACCATGACATATGCCTTGTTCCTCAAGTCTAAATCTAATCCTTTAAATCGTTCTCCAAATCCTAAACTTTCTATAATCATTTTTAACACCGGTCATTCTACACAGTCCTATTAAACTAGACATCTGTCTTCCTGCTATAAAGCCACATTGGTTTTTATTTATACATGAAAGTATTCATTCTTTTTGTCATTATTGTTGTCAATATTTTAGCATCTTGATTTACTAGGGAAATTGGCCTATACGATTCTGGGTCTTTCAAATCTTTTCCTGGTTTTGGAATTAAGATAATTATTGATTGTTCCCACAATGGTGGGCTCCTCTCACCCTCTATTATTGGATTATATAATACTTTTAATTTAGGAAACAGTATTTTTTAAAAATACCTTATAATATTCTGTTCCCATACTCCTGGGGTTTCCCTCCTTTTAGTTTCCCTATAATTTCTGCTGTGATATATTTTCATGATACAGAGATATATACATATTTTAAATAAATAATAAATAAATAAACTGCAACCAATCGACACTAGCATAGATTTATACTGTTAATTAATATAAAGTCCTAAACCAATCAATTCCATGGTTGCCACATACTGGCTTTAGTCACATTTTTTTATCCACAGACCCAGTGGTGGGTAATGCTTTTGGCAAGTATTTCTCAAATCAAGTATCTCACCATTCACGGTATTTTGAGCCGCTTTTATGATTTGGTTTTTAGCATCTACTGAACAGAGAGGAATCCAGGCATGACCATGCTTTGCCTGGCGCCTTCACTGTACACCTTTAGGCGCCAGGCAAAAACCTTCCTTTTCAACCAGGCCTTTGCCTGACTTGATCAACATCCTATACCCTTTTTTAAAATGCTGGCTCTTTTGAGGATTTTTATTGGGTTGCTGGTTTTGTTTTGATTTTATGTATTTGATATTTTATGTGAACCACCCTGAGACCTTCGGGTACAGGACGGTATAGAAAAAAACAAACAAAAAACAAAATGCTTTAGCCAGGTCCACCACATTTGCCTCAGATACCCATTCCTTTTCAGAGGTTATCTTCGTGACTAGTAATTTTTAGCTGACTCAAAACAGTAGCCCCATCAGTGCAAATTTCTAGACAGCCCCGCAGCATCAGCTAAGTTCCAACAGAACGTCCGTGAGTTATTCTCTTATTCTAGGAAGTGATAAATGTTTGCAAAACCAAACATTAAAAGGTTTTGTGCACTGCCCCCACCGCCCCCTCGCCCTGCATGACCATCATCAGTATTTACCCATTATCAGTTCCTAGCTCTTGGAGGTTGGTAAAACTGTTGAGTAGGCCGTGTTGACCGCCGGGGCTGTCCATCACCACCTCTTCGGAATTCTAAAGTTTGTTCATAAGCCAATTCTTCCTCTTCCTGCAGGTAAACAACATTATTTAAAAGTGTACACTGACAGAATTATACAGAAAGAAGTTTCCTTTCTAGGCAAAAAGATCTTTAGCTAAAATGGCCTTTACAAGAATGGCTGGGCCAGATCACACTCATGTTTTCTTAAGGACAGAAGCCTGAGAAGTGAAATCTGGATACTGGAAACAGCAGGGAGAGGCTGTATGTGTAGCAAGGAATCGTATAGATAGAACATCTTTCCCCCCAAAGTCTACACAAACTAATCTGCAAAAAAGGGCCAAAAAAGTGACTAGTGGGACTTTTAATGATTAAAAACATGGCACTGGAGTGACAACTACTTAATGTGCAAGATCCAACACAGAAGCAGCAAAGATGAAATGAAAACATGAAACAGAAAAATGTTACTACTCTTTCTGTAGGAATCCTATCTGTCAGATAATGTCTGTAATGAATAAATAGAGAATTCACTAGGGTATAAACAAGCTCTGAAAACTATAGTTTTATGTATGTCCCACACTACTTTGAGGTTGGCTCAGAGTGATTAGCTAGCATGGTGCACAAGTTAATGACACATTGGAACTGGGGAGACCTAGCATTGAAACTCCTTCTGTGAGCTCAGATCAGTCACACATTCTTACTCTAGCCTACCTCGCAGAGTTGTGAAAATAAATGGAGTGCGGACAGGGGGCAACCGTATACTGTATGTTGCTTTGAGATCTTCGGAGGAAAGGTGGAACACACATAAACAAAATCATAGAATCATAGAATTGTAAAGTTGAAAGGGACCTGAGGGCCATCTAGTCCAACCCCCTGCAAAGCAGGAATCTCAATGAAATCATATGTGACAGAAGGCCATTCAACAGCAAGCACTTAAAAAACTATTACTAATTATAGTTCTTCGGTCGTAAATTGTTGCTCCTTACTGAATTGGAAGCTCACCATAACAATCCCCATAGTCATGCCCCAAAAAGAATCCCAAAATGCAAGCTGTTCTGTTGATGCCTTAATAGATAGATGATAGATACAGAGATACTGTAGAATGTAGATGATAAGATAGATAGATGATAGATAGATAGATAGATAGATAGATAGAGTGCTTTTTGGGGGGGGGAGGTCACAGAGGTCGCATGACCCTAAACATTTTGTGAATCTAAGTTTGGCCTCATTGAGGGGCAGTATTTCAATATGAGTAGGAAAATGAGAGTACCCCTAAACTTTTTTTTAGGAAAAAAGCACTGGATAGATGATAGATAGATAGATGATAGATAGATAGATGATAGATAGATAGATAGATAGATAGATAGATAGATGATAGATAGATAGATAGATAGATAGATAGATAGATAGATGATAGATAGATAGATAGATAGATGATAGATAGATAGATAATAGATAGATAGATAGATAGATAGATAGATAGATAGATAGATAGATGATAGATGATAGATAGATAGATAGATAGATAGATAGATGATAGATAGATAGATAGATAGATAGATAGATAGATATAGACAGACAGACAGAAAGAGAGAGAGATAGATAGATGATAGATGATAGATGATAGATAGATAGATAGATAGATAGATAGATAGATAGATAGATAGATAGATAGATAGATGATAGATAGATAGATATAGATAGATAGATGATAGATAGATAGATAGATAGATAGATAGATAGATAGATACAAGAACACACAAGAGTACATAGCATAATACCGTATTTATGAGGCTCAGAATGACTGCAATCCTATGTAGTTTCTGGAGGAAATTCCATTGAACACTTGGGTGCTTACTGCTCACTGCAAGTGTAAAACACTGACCTGCATGACACACTAAGCCTTGCCTTAGCAAGACCATGCAAGCATGTGAGTTCCCAAAGAAGATAAATTCTGCAGGGATTAGCTGCTCTACAGACTTCCTAGTTGTCAACTGCCTGCTGCAGCCACTTCCAGCAGGGAGACAAAGATATGGTGCTGACAGCACAGCCTCCTCCTCAAGCCCTGCTGGGATCAGCTGCACGGAGTTCCTGACTGCACAAAGCAGGGCTTGCTGTAAGTGCTAATCAGCTAAAGGTCATAGTGACCTCAGGAGATTGACACAAAATGGGGATGGGAGTTGGTGGAGCTCAGGATGTGGTCTCCAGGTTGCATCTTGTTTCCCCACCTGTGACACAGACTGTATATTAGATTGAAGTATCACAAGTCAACTGAAGTCTGATCCAGAATACCGTTTGTGTTTCTTTTTCACAATCTGTGCAAATTTCTCACTCCAGCTGCACTAGGTGGAGGTTAAGATTGTAAGGGGAAAGAGGAGCAGTAGGCATTTCTATCAGTGCTTTTTGTACAAACTCACATGTTTTGCTATGACATTAGAGAGACCTCTTGTTCACATCATTTATAGAAAGAACTAGCAGGGATAAATGGAACAAGGATTGAACAGCATGGGGGGAAATAGGAACACCTGGCCCTATTTTTATTTCAAAGCCAGTTCAGTTCTCCTAGTGTAAAGGAAAAAACATATTAAGTAGAAGATTTCTCACTTTTAAACTTCTGATACCCTTTTAAGGTGTCAGCAGCTCTTTCAACAGATGTTACATATAACAACTGCAATAGCTATCACCACTGAGCATGAATTTAAATTTAAACTTGAATTTTTGGCCTCCCATCTGCTTCCCCACCTCTTATTTTAAATTATAGTACAACCTCCTGTCAGAAAGATTAAAAGCAAAGAAAAGAGGAGGAAATGAGTAAGTGACCTAAAAAGCTAGCTCATAGTTGCTAGAATAAGACTTCCCATTATTCTAAATGCAGGTTAAAATGCAGCTCTATCCTTTTCTTGCTGTGCTTAAAGCACATGTGTATGTTTTAGTCTACACTTTTTCCAGGTGGCTCAAACCTTTTGGTTATGATTGGGCCAGGGGTGTGGAACTGCATTTGGCCTGTGGGAGAGCACCCTGGCATTCCTCTGCAGCAGTGCAAACTGGGATACAAAGGAAAAGCCAAGCAAGGCTTGAAGCTCAAGTCCTGGTTTGGCAAGGCATAGCTGTGTTATGAATTCCCTACGGGGAACTCTCTAAGGAAGCTGATGCTGCTGCCTTTGCTCTCACTGCAAGGCTGAGAGCAAGCCTGCATTGCCAATAAACCCTCAGGTGCACATGATATGGCTCACGACTGTGAGCTAACAGCAATGTCCCTACCTGTCCCACATCTGACATCACATATGATGGGAGGTGTTGGGTAGGTATGTGTGGTTTCATGGAACTGGTTAGCAGACCTAATTAGGCCCACAACCCAGAGGTTCGCCAGCCCTGGCATAGGTGTTGCCCTACACCTCGCTTCAGATATTTGAAAGGGAATTGCATGTGCTACACTCTCAGATAAGGTTAACAAGAGACTTTGGGACCATGCTAAATCAAGTGGGGGTTGGCAGTGAGCTGGTCTGCAGTCATACCTCATTTCTGACCAAACATAGTACTGTTATTGAAGCTGTTTATGACCGGATGTGCTTCAAATAAAGTAGCCCCAAGTGAACTTATCAAATGCCCTCTCAGCATCCACCAAAGACCATCAGCAGCAAAAGTGTATTCTCCACAGTTGCTATTAAGCCATGTGAATGCTTTGCTAAGACAATGGTTAAGAATGAGCTTAGGACATAGATTTCAGCCTGCCTTTGTAAATCAGATCAGACATTAGCTTGAGCAGAAAAACTTGGTTTCCTCACATCGGAATGACTGGGGCATGTCTCTTGTATCTTGCCTAAGACTCTGAAGAGCTGTTGATGTGCCCCAAACGTTTCCCAAAGCTACATTGTCCAGTGAAGCAGATAGGTTTCTGGCACAGTGGCAGCTAGACCATTTTGTGGCACATACCATGTCCATCTAAGCGAGTGAGAAGTTTCTTACCACACTGACCAGCAAAGTACTATGCCAGTTCACAGCTACATTCTTGGGGCTCTCGTTGCAGATGAAAAAAGGAAGCTCATACTGGAATAGGCTGTTCTAAGAAGAGGGCCATCACTGCCTGGGTCATTATGGCCATGGCCTCCCACAACTGGCTTGTTCGTGGCAGATTAGCTCAGATTCAAAAGGTGTAGACTTTGAGGAAGCACAGACAGTCTTTCTGTAGGAGATCACTTGTTCAGTTGTTTTACCAGCACGAATTGAATGGAGAATGCAGATAACTCTGATTAAAAACAAACTTGGGGAGTGAATAGGTGGAGCTTGATCCTTTTTTGGTCTGCAAGCTTTGCAGCCTCTCAGAGAACTGAGAAGGATTTCTTCTAACTGGGAAAGTTCAGGCTAACAGGGTAAATGTTTACAATTCTTTGTCAGATTGTTTCCATTTCTAATTTAAAACTAAAGGTTGCATTTCACTAGGCTTTTTAAAGCTCAATATGTTTTGCTAAGAGGGACGCAGGTGGCGCTGTGGGTTAAACCACAGAACCTAGGACTTGCCGATCAGAAGGTCGGCAGTTCAAATCCCCATGATGGGGTGAGCTCCTGTTGTTCGGTCCCTGCTCCTGCCAACCTAGCAGTTCAAAAGCACGTCAAAAGTGCAAGTAGATAAATAGTGCAAGTAGGTACTGCTCTGGCAGGAAGGTAAACGGTGTTTCCATGCGCTGCTCTGATTCACCAGAAGCGGCTTAGTCATGCTGGCCACATGACCTGGAAGCTGTACGTTGGTTCCCTCGGCCAATAAAGCGAGATGAACGCTGCAACCCCAGAGTCGTTCACGACTGGACCTAATGATCAGGGGTCCCTTTACCTTTACCTATGTTTTGCTAGTTAACCTACATGTTCAGAAGTAAGCAGCACAGAGCTCCAAGGAGCTTAGCCCCAAGTTAAGTATAGAAACAACTGCAGTTGTGTCGTAATTCTTTTTAGTTTAATGGAATAAAAATCCTAAATAGTTGAAAAAACTGTGGAATTAATACCAGCTGTCAAATAAATCACATGAATGATTCATATACTCATCAATCTATGTAACTGGCAACACAATCACATTAAGA